CCTGCCTACAGAGTCCCCCTTTTCCCAGGGCAGTTTTGGCAGGAGGTCAAGGCCTTGGACAGACCCCAACTGCCCACTGTTCACAGGAACATGTTGCTTGTAGTAAGTCTCTTCCCCCCTGAAGAGACCCCAGTGCCTGTGGTGTGTGGACAGGTGTCTGGGCATGAGGAGAAGTGGAGTCTTGGAGCTCACGCCTCACAGAAGCAGAGAGCTCCCACACTCCAACTGAGCCTGAAAATCTCAGCTTCCCCTTGAGAGGATGGTGATGGCTCTGGCTCTCTCTTCCAGACTTTCCTCGGCCTCCCCCGCAGCGAATGGGCCCTGCCAGAGTGGGAATGTGTCCCCCTCTTGGTGTGAGGTACAGACTGCGCTTACATCAGTGACCTCAGACTCCGGAGCTCTGCCTGACTCTGTGGCTATGTCTACACTCGCGGCTTCTTGCGTGAGTAATATGCAAATGAGGCTAAGCGTGGAATATCGTCGAGCCTCATTTGCATATCTAATGAGCCACCATTTTTTTCAGAAGAGGCTCTTGAGCAAGAAGGAGCATCTACACTGCCCCTTCTTGTGCAAGAAAAACCCTCTTGCGCAACGCCGTTCTTCCTGTCAAGTAATAGGTGCAACGGCGTTGTGCAAGAGGGATTTTCTTGCGCAAGAAGGGGCAGTGTAGACGCTCCTTCTTGCGCAAGAGCCTCTTCTGAAAAAAATGGTGGCTCATTAGGTATGCAAATGAGGCTCTGCGATATTCCACACTTAGCCTCATTTGCATATTACTCGCACAAGAAGCCGTGAGTGTAGACATAGACTTTGTGTGTCCCTCAGTCATCTTTCTCTGGTGCTCTCTGCGTGCGGTCTACCCAGCTACCCAAGGCCGGCACAGGGAACAGTCTAGGGAGGTCTAGGCAATATGCCAAGTTTTTTTCTTCCTTATTAGCTAGAATACACAGAGCAGCCAATTCCTCCCCGTCTCAACGCAGAGCCCAAGAGTTCCCCTCGCCCTTTGGGAACTGTCCTTAACTGAAGCTTATGCCCACAGCTGGATAAATAGCCCAGAAGCACAGACAGGCTGGTCTCCCGCCTGTTTACCTCACATGCTTACGTCTCCGCTACAGTGTGAGCGAACCCCACTGGGACTGCACAGAGCTATAATACGAATGGGGCACAGCCCTGGGTCAGCTTTCAGCCACGGATGTTTCAGGGGATGCTGGGGTGAGTGATGTGTGGGGCAGGGTTTCCCAGAGAAGACACTGGCTTCTCCAAATTCCCAGACACCCCCTCTTCCTCACAGCACGCTGGGTGGATACTGGGGACATTGTGGGATAGCAAGCATGTCTGGGACCCTTTCCACTATGAGCAGCCTTTAAGCATGCAGAGAGCACCCTGGGTAATACAGCGTGTTATCACCCTTAGTCCTCCGTCCAGGAATGAGACAGGAAGCCGTGTGAGCCTCTCTCCGTCAGACATTTTCTTTGCCTCTTTTCTGCCCCTTCTCCTCTTTTCCAACGTCCTTTTTGAAAAAACGTGGCCCCCAGGACAGGGTGCAGTGATGTTCACCAGTGCCAGGGGCTGAGATAAAATCCTCCTTCTGCTCCCACTCTCCAACCCCCTCTTTATGGCTCCAAGGATCTGTCGTGTGGATCTGGGGATCTGGCCTGCGTTCCCTCTTCCAAGGGGACAAATTTCCATGTGGCTCTGTTACAACACTCTAGCTCCATCGGTGCACCTGCCCCGGCCCGTTCACTCTAGATGAGCATCCAGCCAGATAAATCTGAGCCCAGCAAGATAAATCCCCTTTCACTGGCAATGGCCCGTTGGCAACTGCTTTTGGAGTTCACTTTAGTATCTCAATGTTTTCCCTTATTAATTAAAATCCCTCAAAGACATCAAATTCTATTGCATCTGCCAAGTTCACTGGAGTAGCCAGAGGTCCACGTTTGCTACAGGATGAAACTGGTTCCTTACAGCTGCTGGTTGACGGGTATTAATTATTTTCCTCAACCTTTTTGGCACTGGATCATTTTAACTACCATCTGGAAGCCCTCCTGTTTGTTACTCTCATTTCCGCGATTACATTGTTTTCCAGTCAGTCTGGCTGTTAATTTGCCGCAGCGTTGAAGAGTTAACTCCTGGATCTCTAACTGTCTGCAAGTCTCGGAGGGGTAGCTGTATTCGCCTGCACCATTCAAACCTTTGAGCACTCCTGCTACGCCTGAGAGATGCTAACAACTCACCTGTTGAAGTCGGCCTTTGCAACCAAATCTCCTGACCTTATAAATGTGTCAGTCTCTAAGGGGCCACAGGGCTGCTGTCCATAGATATTAGTGGTTGGGAAGTGTCCTCCATCTATTTGACTGGACTCAGTGCCAATATTACAATTTTTTCCTCCTCAAGCTGCCCCCTTTTTCCTTTCTCTACACTAATAAGTCCCAGAGTCGGAACATGGCAGCCGGCCCCATTCCCACAGCCTGTCCCTGACACCCCCTTTCTGGCTACAATATCCCAAACAGTGACCAAAACTAAGCATGCCATCCATCCCTTTGCTTCTGGACAGTGGCTTTATTTTGGCCACTACCGCCACTGAGCGGGTGTTTCCATGGAGTCGCTGTCAATCACACCCTGACTGTTCCCCGTAAAGGGTGATCTAATTCAGATGTTTCTGCTGGGCACAGGTCTTGGCAAAGGCTTGGGCTAGTCACTCTGTCAGAGTTTGAGCCGCAGAGCAAGTGGGGAAATCCCGAAAGCAGAGAGGCCCCAGTGTAGGATTCGTGCCTTAGTGAATCATGATAAACAATGAATGATCTTGCAGCACTTTGAGACTCACCAAACACGTAGATGTTAGTCTCTATGGTGCTGCAAGACTTTTTGTTTTTTATTTAAAAAAGTTTTCCAGTCACAGGCAACACGGTGACCCCTCTAAAATGTTGGGGAAATGATAGATAGCCAGTATCCACGCTACCATGTCCTACTGTTGCCATATGCGGATGCAAAATCTTTTCACTGCTCTGACACACTCCCTCCCTCCTTCATGCATCCAAGGATCCCCTCAGCCCTTTTGGTCACAGAATAGGACAGGCCACTCACAAAGGGTATGTCTAGACGATGCTTCTGTCGACAAAGGGCGTCTAGACTACAGAAGATTCTGTTGACAAATCAAGCTGCTTTGTTGACATGAGAGTGTAGACGCAAAGGACAGTGTAGACGCAATAACGTCTTCTGTCGACAGAACTCTGTCGAGAAAAGGTGTTATTCCTCGTAGAATGCAGTTTACCACTGTCGACAAAACTGCCAAGTTCTGTCGACATTATGTCAACAGAACGTGGTGGTAGTATAGACGCAGGTATAGTTTTGTCGACAAAACCCTGTAGTCTAGACACACCCAAAGAGTCATGTGTCCACTCCTATGCCTACATCATAAGAATTTAAGAATGGCCAGACCAGGTCAGAGCAAATATCCATCTAGCCTAGTATCCTGTCTGCCTATAGTGCCAATACCAGATGCCCCGGAGGGAGGGAACACAACAGGTAATCCTCATGTGATCCCTCTCCTGTTACCTATTTCCAGACAAACAGAGGCTAGGGACCCCATTCCTACCCATCCTGGCTAATAGCCATTGATGGACCTAACCTCCAAGAATCTATCTAGCTCTTTCTTGAACACTGTTAAAGTCTTGATCTTCACAACATCCTCTGGCAAGGAGTTCCATAGGGTGACTTTGCACTGAGTAAAGAAACTCTTCTTTTTGTTTGTTTTTAAACTGCTGCCTATTAATATCACTTCGCGACCCCTCGTTCTTATATTGTGGGAATGAGTAAATATTTTTTCCTTATTCACTTTTTCCACACCAGTCATGATTTTATAGACCTCTATCATATCCCCCCAGTCTTCTCTTATCTAAGCTGAATAGTCCAAGTCTTTTTAATCTCTTTTCATATGTGACCTGTTCCAAACCCCTTAATCAAAGATAGCTTCCCCAATTATCATCCCTAATGTCATTACCTCACAGAAACTTCCCCTATTATCACCCCTATGTCACTACCTTCCCCCCTCACCCACACTCTGTTCTAAAATTTGATTTGTAAATTTCACATGCATTCCTTTTTTTTTGATTGTTTCACTTTGGTATATATGGTTGTGCTGATTTTCTTCCACATATTGATCTGAGGAAGTGGGTCTGGCCCACGAAAGCTCATCACTGAATAAACCATCTTGTTAGTCTTTAAAGTGCTACATAGTTCTGTCTTTTGTTTCAGCTACCCCAGACTAACACAGCTGCATCTCTATCACTATTCCCATCTGTATGAAGTACTCAAGATGTGGGTATACCATGGATTTATATAGAGGCACTAAGATATTCTCTTTTTTATTTTCTATTCCTTTTTTAATGATTCCTAACATTCTCTTTGCTTTTTTGACTGTCGCTGCACACTGACTGGATGTTTTCAGAGATCTATTTCAGAGAAACTTTTCAGGGTCCCTATGTTCCACAATAGAGCGCTCTTTTCTGGGGTTGGATCAATATTGCCCATTCTGATAACTTTGGCTTCAACTGTATTTGAATGGTTTATCTGCAGGCTGACTAAATTCTCCAGATCAATTACTATGCCGGCTTGCAGTCTGCATTATAACCACCCTTTCAACCTGAGGGCAGTCTGTGAATATTATTTGTGGTACTTTTCTGTTGCCTTCAAATTACTGATGCCTGGACACTCCAAAATAGGGAATTTCTGTTACCTGAGTCCATTGTTCATAATTCTGTTGTCTGAATAATGAAAATATCGTTTTTCACTTTTAAGAGCAGCCCATTTTCTTCACCCATGAGAACAGCCCCTCTGTCCTGCATTGTCTCATTTTCACCTTGTCTCTCCATTCAGGCATCTGCACTGCGACTGCCAATCTCAGGAAGTCAGGAGAGCATACAGCGTGTGCATGAGATACTCTTACATTGGTTCGCCATCTTCTCAGCTCCATGTCAGATTCCAACACCACCCACTTCACCAACCCCTCCACTTTCATCCTGCTGGGCATCCCTGGCCTGGAGACAGCCTACGCCTGGATCTCCATCCCCTTCTGTTGCACATACACCATATCCATGCTGGGGAACTTCACCATCCTGTTCATTGTCAAGAGGGAGACAAGTCTCCACAAGCCCATGTACTATTTCCTCTGCATGTTGGCCATCACTGACCTGGTCTTGTCCACGTCCACCCTGCCCAAAACGCTGAGCATCTTCTGGTTCAATTCCAGGGAGATCGATTTCAGTGCCTGCCTCACCCAGATGTTCTTCATTCACTGTTTCTTAGCAATCGAGTCTGGGATCTTTGTGGCCATGGCATTGGATCGCTACGTGGCCATCTGCCATCCCCTGAGACATTCCACCATCCTCACAAACTCTGTGGTGGCCAAGATCGGCCTGGCTGTGTTACTGCGCAGTGGAATGCTCACATTACCCTTTATTTACATAGGAAGTCGGTGGCCGTATTGCACAACCAACATCATCCCCCACACGCACTGCGAGTACATCGCCGTGGTGAGGCTGGCCTGTGGTGACATCCGCATCAGTAGTTACTACGGCCTCTTTGCAGTTTTCTTTGTGACTGGTCTGGATGTGTTTTTTATATCCGTGTCCTATACCCAGATCCTCAGGGCCGTCTTCAGACTTCCCACAAAGGACGCCCGGCTCAAGACTTTTGGGACCTGCGGCTCCCACCTCTTTGCCATCTTAGCCTTTTACATCCCCGCTCTCTTCTCCTTCCTCACACAGCGGTTTGGCCAAAACGTGTCCCTGCATTTCCGCATTCTCATTGGCAACGTGTACCTCCTGGTGCCCCCCATGCTGAACCCCATCATCTACGGGGTGAAGACGAGACAGATCCGGGACAGGCTGCTCCAACTCTTTAGTCGTAAATGGGCCTAAAATTTTCTCCTGGTGCTCTGGCTCACCGACCTAACGCCTTGCAGGCCTAGATGGTGACCTGGTGTTGGGCCTCATTCCTGAGTCACTTACGGGACAGTGTGGGAGACATTAAACCTTTTCATGGCCTCACTGTGCTGTAGTGTTCACTCTGTGGATTGAGGCAGGGTGACCCCACCCCAGTACCCTGCTGTGGCCTACCTCAGGCAGTCTCAGTCCCACGCTATTTGTCATTGGTGGGATTCCAGCTCCACCCCCTCAGCCGCAAAGGTATTGGGGCCAGTGTCTCAGGGAAAGTCCTTCCTAGCTGGGCTTTCAGGCTGCTGGGCGAAGGAGGGCTTAAAACCCCGTCTCAGGGGGCTGCTTCCCCTCCTTCATTTAGCTATCTCTGACAATGTTGTGTGTGCCGGGGGGCGGTCCCAGACAACCCCTCTGGGGGGGACGCCTCCCAGGGTGCTGACACAGTCCCTTCCACTCATCTTCCCGCTCTCTGGGACTCCTCACCGCCCGGTCCTACTAGGCCAGCTCCCTGGTCTCCCCCAGCCAAGGCCCCAAACTGATGCCTGTGCAGCTTCTCCGTGGGGGCAGGGACACTGAACCTCCTCAGGTCCAAGGCAAGTGCAGTTTGGGGCCCAGCGTCCTGAGAGAGCACTCCCCACGAGGGATCAGACCCCAAAGAATTAGCTGAGCCCCCTTTAGCAATGCAAGGGGGAATGTGCACGCTGGTTGCCCGCCCCCCCCCCCCCCCAGGTAACAATCGCTTACACTGGGTTTCATAGAAAATAAAAATGGTTTTATTAAGTTGAAGCAGTAGGATTGAAGTGGCAATAAGAGAGAGCAGGCAGAGCAAAGTAGGTTACAAATGAAAAGAAATAAAACCGCTGGGTTAATTTCCCCTGAAACCTCAGCGCAAACTTAAGCTCACGCTAAAACCTCTTTTCCAGCAGCCGCTCTAAACCAGGGATGCCTTCCACACCCGGGGCTCTCAGCCACCTTCCTCCAGGTGCAGCCCAGCCAAAAAGACCTAGACCTCTCCTCTCCTCTTCTTTTTGTTAAAGGATTGAGGCTCCTCCCTACCAACCCCTGCTCAGGCTGAAGGACAAAAGAGATAATTTAGGGTCACCCCCTCCATATCTCTCATTCACACATTTGAAACTCACAAATTATTCCCCATTCCCTGTGTCTAATTTTACACACACGATACATACAATAGAGTAAGATAAAGAGACCCAGTGGATTGTGACATGAAGATTGATGGGTTACACAAAATGATTAGCTCAAAACACTTTTGAGATACGTATATTCATGTCCATAAGTCCATTTCCAAAAGCATGGGGTGGGGGTTCCATCACATTGTTTTCAACAATTCTATAGCTAATAGAAGGCCTAAAGATTTAGCTATTATTGAGTAGCTTTTTGTTGCGTATCGAAATGATAGGGAGTCATATAAGAATAGATGCATCTTCCACAACATTTAGGTACACAATGAGCATGAACGTTTGACCTCTAAAATACAATATCTGGCACCACTTATTTTTTTAAAAAAGGAGTTACTTGCTGCTATTAAACTCTTATTTATTATTTTACCTTTATGCATAGCAATCTGGAGGTTTGAAACTCATTTCAGAGGGACAATCAAGGAAAGCAGTGAAGGCTGTTTCCACCAAGGTCAATTCTCCCCATCCCTTCATACACACAAAAAAAGTTCCCCACAACATTTAGGTAACCAAACCTTTCACATGGTTATATTAAATTTAATTAATGTGTAGGTCATTCTAACATTGTCATGTGTGGAGGCTGTGCATCGTTTTAGTATTTCCCTTTACAACAACTAATACAATCAATCAAAATATTAAATTATTTAAACAGAACAAAAGTCCTTGATCCTAAAGAGATCCTGAGCACCCCAGTGGTGTGGGGTGTTTAGTTGGGGAAAGCCCTGTCCACCCCTTGCTGCAGTCCCTTGCTGGCAATGAATGTAAAGTGGCGGTGCCTCCACCTGGCTGGCCTTGTACACACACTGGTGCCTTGAGAGCCTCCAGGAATATACAGGCAGTCCCCGGGTTACATGGATCCAACTGACATCGGATCCCTACTTACAAACGGGTGAGGCAACCCCGCACTAGCTGCTTCCCCCCAGCAGACCAGGGAGACGCAAAGCTAGTACCCTCCCCCCCCAGCAGACCAGGG